GGTGCCTTTGCTAAGCGAGCCACGGAGGGGAGGTGCAGTCCCCGGGCTGAGCCAAATGCACCTAGGGCGGAGGGTGGAGGGAAGCTGTCTGTGCCCGAGGAGCCACTTTATCGGCGCCTGTTTGGGAGCAGTGCGCAAACGCGGGTGCAAACCCCAAGTTCATCAGAGTCAATCAGCGGGGGCAGCAGCAGCTGGAGAGGGAAAGGTGGGGCGGCGGGAAGGACCCGGTTGCGACTAAGGACACCCCTAGCGGCTCCTCCCCAGCCCGACAGGTGAGCGCGGGCCGGCCGTGGGGCGGAGTCCGCCGTCTCCACCCGCCAACTTCCTGGCTCCACCGCCACTTCGCTGGTAACTAGCCGCTTGTGCCGACGGCCTCCGCTCACCCAGCCCCGGCGCCTTTGTCCTCTCCCGGGCGGTGCCGGCCTGGAGCCCGAGACCAGCCGCAGCCGGGCGCGCGCCCACACCCGGCGCCCGCAGACCGCGGGCGGACAGCAGACAGGTGGGGCGCTGGGGCGGGGGCGCCCCGCCCGTGCCCAGTGCCTTCGGGGCCCGCCCTGCGGCGCCCCGCCAGCCGGGGTTGGGAGCGTCGCGTTCCCGGGGTGCGCTTCCCCCCGCCCCTCGCCGCGCCCCCAGCCCCATTCTGGCCTCCGGAGCCCTGAGAGCTCCGAGATGGCGTTGGCGGAAGTCAAGCACCGCGCCACGTGAAATAGCCTGTCTCCTTCCCCGCCCAATGCACTCGTTAAACAGCGACCCTCGCATATCCCCCCAAATAGCTGGTTAGGGCGTATTGTGTCCAAGTGTGCTGCCGCTACGAAATAGCTTTACTTGTTCAATAGTTTTTACAGATTTGGTGTGTAATTTACATACAATAAAATGCCCCTGTTTTGAGTTTGCAGACCCGGGATTTGAGAAATTATATAGCTGCGTAAGCACTACGCCAGCGTGCACATAGACCATTTTTCATCACTCCAGAAAGTTTCCTCGTGCCTCTTCCCAGTCCAGCTACAATCCCTTACCCCTTGACTTACAGCATAACTTAGTTTTTTGTCTGTTGTAGAACGTAATAAAACGGGATCGTTAAGTAAGTACTCTTTAAATTTGACTAACATTTTTTTTTAATGGCTATCATTGAGAAGGTGTCTCTTGGTGTTTCTGATGCTTTTAGTTGCTCTAGGCCTGCACTGCCTAGGGTGGCAGCCATTGGAAATGTGGCGAATCTGAATTGCGAGGTGTTGTAAGTACACACATCTTATTTCAGAAGACTTTGAACAGAAAAGAAGAAAAGGATAAAATATCTCACTAATGAATTCTTACATCGATTATGTGTCAAAATAGTATTTTAGATACATTGGGTTAAATAAGATTAAAATTAACTGCATCTGTTTATTTTTAATTTTTAATATGGCTACTTGAAAATTTAAAATTACACGTGGCTCATGTTATGTTTTTATTGGACAGCATACAGTGCAGCCCTACACACTCCTAGTTTACAACTGGTTCTCCTTACTGCATGTTAAAGTAAATGAAAACTTAAGTGTTCACATGAGAAAAAACATCCCAATTCAAGGAAGTATCTTGAAGACCCTGCCTTTTCCTGCAGTTTTAAAACTGCTTCAAATCAACTTGTTTCCTTTAAAGAGGTAGGAAGGACTAGGTGTCTCCTTGGTATTAAGTTACATTTTCGAGAAGGATTTTGTAAATATCTGATGTGCTTAAAAAAGGTATATTATGCTTTTGAAAATATAGGAAACTAGTAATTGCCTACAGCCCAACCACCTAAGTATATTAAAACAGTATTTTGGTGTACTTTTGAACGGTCTTAATTTAAAAAACATAGTCAAGAGGATATTATATTCGATTTTATATCATGGTTTTTTTCATGTACCATGAGCTTGTCTTCTGTGAAAAATTCTCACTTTTTTTGGCAACCACATAATGTGACTTCACATGAATACACTTTTCTATGGTGTTTTTTGGTTTTGATACCTTTTACAACTGGGAAGGTATTTTAAGTGTGACAGTGCCAGAATAAGGTTCAGTTATAGCAGCGTTCATTTGCCCCTTAATCCCACATGAAAGGTAAAGTCAAAGGGGGCAGGGACCTTGACTTTTTGATCACCCCCATATCCCCAGGATGGGGGAACAAGCATATAGTAGACATTCAGTAAACATTTGTGAATTGATTGCAGCGAATAGACGGCTCTGAAAAATGATAACAGCTAATTTTCATTTAGCATTTGGGCCCTGTCTTTGTAAATGGCCACACACCTCAATAAGGCAGGCGCTGTTACTAGCTCTGTGTACTGCACAGGTGGAGAAAAATCGAGGCTTAGAAAAATCGAAGAAGTTGCCCGGGGTCATAGCTTTAAGTGACAGAGTCAGCATTTGAACCCAGGCTGTCTGACTCCAGAGGAGGGGCACTTATCAAAATTGAAAAAATCAACAGTGGGATGGAGACATGAGGGCTGTGAAGAAATCGCCCTTATAACGATACCTGGGCCAGTAGGAGTGGAAAGAGATGAGGATTCAGGTATGTTTTTGATCTACAGGAGGTGCATTCTGGGTTTGGATTGAGAATCCTTTAGGCTATATTGGGTGAGTGGATGGCCAGCTAGCTTGTGAAGAGGAATGATGGCATTGAATGTGATCAACTGTAGCATGTAGAGAAAGGCAGGCCTGGGGACTTAGGGAAGCCGATTGGGATGGGACATGTATGTTTTCGATGGTTTTGGTTTACTCACCCTGACCATGGCTGGCTGGTTCAAACTGAACTCACAGCTCTGAGTGAGATAACTCTACACCTTTAAGTTAAGGTAGTTTGTTTTGAAAGTAAAGGAAACTACAAAATCAGAATGGGTATTCCTTCGAGGAGAACAGACAAATAAGATAAATGGGTAACTGAAATTATTCCCACCTGATGGCATTTTTGCTTAATTTCCAAGTATTTAAAAAATTTGTGAATTATGATAGAAAGTGGAATTTATAGTTACTAGCTTTTGTTCGTTACTCTGTGTTTTTGCAGTTGTGATTTGTTGTCAGTGGTTTTACTCCACTGCCTACTTGCCTGCCTGCCAAGGCTACGCAAACAATACTGTAAGATCTACTTTCATTTGCATGGTGAAATGGCAAGGGTGAAATGGAAGGCCCCTGCACATGCTCAAGGGAAAAAATAGTAGTATTTAAAATAAAATAAGGAAAACCAAGTAGCTATTGGGCTTCCTGTCTGCCTCTAAAAAGAAAAGAGGTTGATTGGACAGCAGCAGAAAAGTGAAATAAAATTTCCTTATGACATAATATTTTCTTTTCTTCCTGCTTGAGTATTTCTGCATGGTAAAACTGATGGCTTAGGAAATAGATTCAGTGTTCAGGATGTTTGGTTAAGGAGTGTACATTTATTGTTATTAATAGTGATGTTAATAGCTATTATTAAGTTCTTACTCTATGTTAATGTAGGGGTTGATTTGGACTCCCTCTGTACTAGGCAGCAGCAAACATTTTTTGTCAAAGGCCAGATAACAGATATTTCAGCTTTGTGGGCCAGAGTTCCCTGCTTTCACAGCTTCTCAGCTTTGCCATCGTGGCAGGAATGGCCACAATCTGCAATGGACACTGAAGTTGAGTTTCATACCACTTTACCATGTCATGAAAATTTTTTGATCTTTTCTCAGTTAGTTAAAAATGTAAAAACTACTCTTGGCTTTGGGGCCTTACAGAAGCAGACAGTGGGCTGGATGTGACTTGTGGGCCTAGTTTGCTGACCTCTGATTTGTTATACCTTAGCTCATTTAATCGTTACAACCACCTCAGATTTTTTTTTTATGGTGGCATATTTGAATACTGATTTTTTAAAAAGTAGACTTTGTTTTTTAGAGCAATTTTAGGTTCATAGCAAAACTGAGCAGAAAGCACTCTCAGTTCCCATATACTTCCCCCACATGCACAGCCTCTTCTGCTGTCAACATCCCCAACTAGAGTGGTGCACTTGTTAAGCAGTCAATGAACCTCCATTGACACATCATCATTATCCAAAGTCCATAGGTTACATTAGAGTTCACTCCTGCTGCTATCCTTCTGTGGATTTGGACAAATGATTCACCATTATAGCATCATACAGAATAGCTTTGCTGCTCTAAAAACCCTTTGTGCTCCACCTATTCATCCCTCCCCCCCCAATTCCTGGCAACCACTGATCTTTCACTGTCTCTGTAGTTTTGCCATGTCAAATAGTTGGAATCATGTGGTATGTAGCTTTCTGAGACTGACCTCTTTCACTTAGTAATATTCATATCAGGTTCCTCCATGTCTTTTCATGGTTTGATAGCTAATTTTGTTTTAGTACCTGATGATATTTTAAGGCACTGGTAGTTTCTGTCCCATTTTACGGATGAAGAAACAGGCACAGAAAGGATTAATACCTTGCCCTGGAACAGCTTGTACAGATCTGTCTGACTCCAGGGCCTGATCCTATAAACATTTCACCATGCCTCTGAATCCCGGAGAAATTTTGTTTCTCATGATGAAGAATGTCACATGGCAGAGTTGGGGTAAATGGAAAATCAGGGCAATGGAGCCAGCCACTTTGCTTGTAGAAACTATCCACAGCTTCCTGCATATAGGCAAAAGGGAAAAACCTGGAAAAAAAATAATTTCTTTTAAAAGTTTCAAATATTTAGAAAATAGGTAGAAAAACGCTGTGTGCTTTTGAAATTTGGGTATAACAAACTTTCTGCTTTATACTGGTTTGAGAAAATGTTTCTTTTCCCTTACCCTGAATTTTATTATCTTTCAGATTATATCTGGGTGCTGGTACCCAGTCACTCCTCTGCCAATGAAGTACATCCTGGTCACTGGGGGGGGTTATCTCTGGCGTCGGTAAAGGGATCATCGCCAGCAGCATTGGGATGATTCTAAAGTCATGTGTACTCCAAGTTACTGCCATCAAAATCGACCCCTATATTAACATCGACGCAGGCACTTTTGCCCTTATGAGCACGGTATGAAAGAGAACCACTTCTTCCCTTTATAAAGCACTGGGTTAAGCACATCTTTCTCGTATTTTGGTACTGAGGATAGAGTTCCGGAAGTAGAGTTGCTGGATCAGACGTTATAAATATGTGAATGTTCTCATGGTCATTGACACATTTTTCAGATTGCTGGGACATTCCAAATTATTCCACCCTTTTGGAAAACTGCGTGAGGATACCATTTTCATTGTACCTTTTGCAATACAGATTCTGTTTTGTTTTATTTTATCATAAAGGTAATATATTTCTTTTAACATTTCATTGTTAAGATAAAAATTCAGACAATATAGAATATAATGACAATATAGGATGGCATGAAGAAAATAAAAATCATCCGTTTCCCACCACTTGGGATAACTATCGTTAATGTTGACATTTTGATGTATGCAGTAGTTTTTCAACAGCCATTAGCCCTTATATACTTTTTAAAACCTTTTATACATAAGCAGGAAAGTACATAAATCATATCACTTGATGAAATGAAAATATTGTGTAACCAGCTCCCAGATCAAGAAACAGAAACCCCCCCCATATGACTTTTCCAGTCTCCCTACCTGAAACCACCAAGGTAAACCACTATCTCATGTTCTAACGGCGTAGCTTAGGTTTGCTTATTTGTGAATGTTTAGTGAATTGAATCTTAACAGTCACTATTTTTTAATCTAAGTTTTAGAACAATGTACTGTGGACATTTTTATATATTCTATACTCATAAAGGCTACACAGAATCTGTTCAATAATAGGAAATAATTTTCAGTTTGTCAATATTATAAACAACACTGTGATGGAAATCTTTAAAATGTATATATTTTTAAAACATAAATGCCTAAGTGCAGAACTTCTGATTCGATGAGTGGTATGTTTTTCAGGTTTTTCACCCATAAAGCATAGTGCCAAAGTTGTTTAGGTTCATGATCCTTTATCTATAATTCTAAAATCCAGAAAGTTCTGAAAATTAAAAATTCTGCACTTGTGATTATTACAGCCTTTTTACAAAAGTTTTGACAATTGAAAAGTCTTCATAAAGCTGTGGCTATTTCTAGTCTTTATTCTCCTTGGAATGTGTTTGCTTTTGGCGTGTGCTCAAATATATGGAAAGTGTTCTATGTTACCTTTCCAAAGTGTGAAGAATTCCAGATTCCAATGTCCATCTTGTCTCCAATAATTTTCTGATAAGGCTTATAGATCTGCACCAGTTTATAGCCTCATCAACAGTGTATAAAGAAGGCCTTTTTTTTATACCCTTGCTGAATATTATTCTTTTAAAATTTTGCTAACTTGAGAGTAAACCAAAAACAAAAAAAGTGTATCTCATTGTTCTAATTTAGATTCCTTTGATTTTCATTTTGTCTGTGGAATGACTTAAGTCTGTAGTAGATTGTATTTTTGTTTGAAATTGTCACCCAATTCCTTCTGGGGAGTAAATTTCCCTACCGTGTTGACTTTGGACTTGTGCCACGTAGGATGGCAAACTTGTCCTGGTTTGTTTGGAACGTCTCTGGTTTTGAAAGGGAAAGGCCCACATCCTGAGAACTGTATTAGTCCTGGGCATACCGGAGAGGTTGGTCGCCTAATTTGGTCATGTGATTTGTTTTGCCATATGGGATATTAGTGAAGATAACATATGTCTTGCTGAAGCAGAAATTCTCAGTGCAGTGGCATGATTTGGCTCGTCTCTCTTGTACTTCTGCCCGCTGCCTTGAGAACTGCCTGCTCCATGCAGGGAATTCTCCTTCAGCCTGGGTCCTGGAATGAGAAGACATCGAGCTGATGCACAGCGGACCCACGGACCCCATGTCACATGAGGGAGAAGTCAGTCAATGTCTTGTAAGTTGTTGAGATTGTAGGTTTGTTTGGTATGTAGCAAAATTGACTATTGCCATGTGTTAGGCCAGTTTTCCTCTGGCTTTTTAAAAATGATTTTCAAGAACACTTTACGTAAAGTATGTTAACATATATCATATCACATGCATTCATTTTTACTTTATGTATGTGTGAAATTTGCTCTAATACTTCTAAGTTGCTGATAAATTTCAGTTTACCATTTGTGTGATTAAATGCATCAACTGTTGCCTTTATGGTTTCTGCCTTTGATGTTGCCTTGGACTTCTCTGCCCCAGGAATATTTAAATATTCATCTGTATTTTCTTCTGGCACTTTTATAATTTCATTTGCTTTTACTTTAACATTGTTACAACATCTGGGAATTAATTTGGCATGAGGCGAGGATGTAACAACTTTTCCAAATTTTTTTCTGATTAGCCAACTATTCCTAATGGCATTTATCAAAGATTTCATCCTTTTTCTGCTGACTTAAAATACCACCTTTTACTATACACTGAATTTCTGTCCATGCTGAAGTCTGTCTTTTTGCTCTGTTCTGGATATCTTTGTTTCTTCCTGCCTGACATTTTAATAGCTGCAGCCTTTTCTTAACAAAGAGGTCAGAGCTTGTCTCGTTCCTTCTTTTTTTTGACTTCAAAATATTTGTTGTTTTCAAGATTAATTTAGGGATCATTTTATCAAACTTTATAAGAAATCACATTGGAGTTTTTTGACAAAGATTTCTTTAAATTTATAAGTTAATCTGGGGAATAATCAAACACCAAAAATGTTGACTGGGCCATTCGGGAACATTATAAATGGCTTTCATTTTATTCATACCTTCTCTTATGTCTCTGAAGTAAGGTTTTAAAGTTTTCTTCATAAGGATTGCACACATTTCTTTGAAGTTTATCTGAGTCTTTTATCTGCATTGATTTGTGATAATACCCTTGGTTTTTCTCATTTTTAAGTCATATATTAAATTTCTTTATATAATAAGGAGCTTCTTGGACATTTTGGTTTGTGTATATGTTGATGTTTTCTTGTTCCGTATTTGTATATACTGAAATATATATATGTATATGTATTTCAATCTTCCTTTATTCACTATTATTCGTTATAAGGGCTTTGTTATTATTTGCTTTTTCTGTGTTTTGTTTTGATAATCACACCTATTTTCTTCCCGATTAACTTTAGTGTCACTGTCAAGTTAAAAAAAAATCTGTTGGAATTTTTGTTACAAGTGCATTAGATCTAAAAAACTGCTTTGAAGGCTTGTCATCTAGTTTTTCTTTTCTAGGAACATAGTGTGTACATACTTTTAAAATCTTAGGAATTGAAAATGTCAAGATCTTTGCCCTCTTTGCCATATACCTGGAGTATTACTAAACTGGATTTAGTCCAAATTACCTAAAGAGATTTTAGAGATGTTCTGTTATTTGTCAGAGGTTGGGATGATCAAAGCAAAAACGATTGGTGATTCCGTAGATTGGTGATTCCCGATTGACATGACAACTTGGGGTTTGAACTGCAAATGGAATATGGGAAATATGAAAATATTGCAGCTTTGTCAATTTGCTCCCTTGTTCTTAAAAGTTAGAGATCTTCCTGATCACACTAGGTACCTTATAAAGGAGACATAAGTGAGGATATAAAAGATTTCTGTAAAAAAATAAATAAATAAAAAATAAATAAAAACTTAAAAAAAAAGATTTCTGATCAGGTTCATAAGCTAGGCAACTTTCATTTTTTGCTATGAACGTCTCAAAGTAGGTGTAAATGATAGAATTTCAGGGAGAGGTTCAGTTCTTACAATGTGGCTTTAAAACTTGGACTCCTAGTCGATACGCTTAAGTGACACTAGACACCAAGGGACATGCCCAGTAGTCAGTGCAGGTGCTCCTGGGTGATTGTCTTCATCTCTGTCACTTTTCACGGTGTGGTTGTGTGGGTGGCTTCTTGCTTACACAGGCTTCTCCCCTCACTTTCACCCAGTTGCCCCCTGAGCTGGTGGGGACCCTGCTTTCATCTGCTGTCTAATGTTGGCTTTAACCCAAATGGGAATCAATTAAAAGTTTCTTACACCAATTCCAGAGTGCAGGTTACTGATGCTTTGAAGCAAGTTGCTATTTGTGTTTTAAATTGCTGTTTTAAAAAGTCCCTTTTTCATGTGATACATGACAAGTTTGGAAAAGGTAAATCTTGAAGACAGAATTTCAGGAAGCACCTAAAAAAATACCATAATTGGATACCAGAATTTTTCTGGTGCATTTTCATGGGTAGAATTGAATTGTTTAATTTCCCCATCAAAATAAGGAAATGGTGATAGAATATAGCTTTTAAATTAGTCTTCTACCAGCTCTTTAATATAATGTGGGCATCAGAGTGACTGGTGGTTACCAATGGGGAGGCGTTGGGGTGGAGGATGAGGGGGATAATAGGGCACAGAAATTCTCAGTCATAAGTAAGTTGGTTACGGGGATGGTAGTCTAGCATGGAGAATATAGCCAGTGATTCTGTAATATCTTCCTATGGTGACAGATAGTAACCGCACTAGTGGGGTGAGGATTTAATAATATCAGAAACTGTTGAACCACTATGTTGTATACTTGAAATCAATAGAACATTGTTTATCAATGATACTTCAATAAAAAAAATAGTATGTATAATGTGTTCATCTTTTAAAAATAATCTGGAAGCAAATTTTTAATTTTTACATTGCCTTTTTATCCTAGGTGAAGTGTTTGTCTTAAATGATGGTGGAGAAGTTGATTTAGGCCTTGGTAATTATGAAAGGTTCCTGGATATTAATCTTTATAAGAACAACAACATCACCACTGGGAAGATATATCAGCATGTGATCAATAAAGAGAGGCATGGCGATTATCTGGGGAAAACCGTACAAGGTATTACATTCCACAAACAGGGAGCCCCATGTGCTGAGCACCCACACTCTGTTGAAACTAGAGGTGAACATGGTCCCTGAGCTCCACAAGTCCTTGTCCTGTTCAAGTCTCTGCACTCTCTCCCTTTCCTTTTGTGCAAGGGTGTCACATTCATCCTCTATTTTGCTGATTTTATTTTCCTCAGTCTTTTTCTTTTTGACTGATGTCATTGTTTCTCTTAGTTTATATGTCTGTCTGACTGCCTCTCTTCAGCTTTTATTTATAAAATCCTTTGAGAGCCATTTATTAATCATTTTTACCTGATTGGGGGTGTCGATTTTTTTGGAGTCTATTTTTTGTCTCTTTTAATATGTTCTTTCTCTCCTTTTCTTGTATCTTTGCATGGATGACAGTTACTCCCCTTTGCAGAAAGGCAGCACTGGGGAGGGACTGGAGGATGGAACTGCAGTGGCAGGCGGCCTGGCCTGGCCTGGCTTTTTTCACCAACCCTTCCCTGAGTGGGGTGATTCTCTTTTGTTTTAGAAGAGACCCCCCGCCCCCACTCCCAGGAAGTCTTGTATTCATACATTCCTACATCGTAGGTGATAATTGCTCATCCCTTTTAAGGCACTTTCATGTTGGAACTAGCTGAGAAGTAGATCAAGGCGTCAGACAGATGTAGATCAGAAGAGAAACTATGTTATTGCTGAAACTGGACAGTGTGGCACAGATCTCAGCTACAATTGTGCTAACAGTTTGCCCCCAAGTGTAGGTCTTGGGAGTCCTATGGGAGGGTGAGCTGCTGGCTCATACCTGCCACGTCCCAATGTAGGGGAGAGGGCAGTGCCCCATTTCTGGGGCCTGGGCTGTGACCCCTGATCCTTGTACTGCCTGGAAAGGGGCTAGTCTGGCATGCGTGGCCATGGGTTGTCGCAAATGCATCAAACAGAGATCACTTTTTCCCGCCTTGAGGGAGAAGCAGGTGTGCAGCAGGGTAGGTGACAGATGCTGCTTCGCCTCAGCTTCCCAGAGGCCAATGTTCCTGCTTTGTGTATCACATTAGGTTAGTTAGCTGCACCAAGGCCTCACGCCCCCTTGAGGATGTCACTGCTTTGTCTCTTCAGCTGAGCCCAACAGCTGCTGGGCTGCTTACCATTCAGGGACCCCTGGGTCTCATAAATTTGTGGGATGTCATCTTTTGGCCTCTTTGGCTGCCATTAGCAGCCTTAGGCCCCTGGTCAGCATGCAGGCCTCATCTACACCCTGAGTGGATCCTCCCCACTGGCTGGTGGGCTGCCCAGGACCTGCAGGGCTGGACCACTCTGTGTCCTTCTTCCTCTTGGAGTCCAGCATTCAGCAATTTTTAGTTGGCATTATAAGCATTTTCTAGTTGCATTGAAGATGGCATTTATGCTTTCTGTTGCTTGTTTTCTGTGGTTGGTTGGTTTTAAGAGAAATGGCATAAAGTTTAAAGGACTAAACCTATATTGTTTCTATAGTATTAATTTCAGTGATGTGGATAATAACATGAGGAATGTAGCTTGTCTAATTTACCAGGTGGCTTTCAGGTTGTTTGGGAGGTCTAAAGAGACTAATACCTTCCTTTCTCATGACCGTGACCGTGAAATGATCTTTTGTGCTAATTATTACTTCTCTCTACAGTTGTCCCTCATGTTACCGATGCTATCCAGGAGTGGATTATGAATCAAGCCCTGGTGCCTGTGGACAGTAATAACGAAGAGCCCCAAATATGTATCATTGAGGCAAGCATGGAACTTTTCTTTATAAACATACTTTTCTGGGTTTTTAAACACCAGATCTTCATGCATGTAACACATATGTACAGATGGCCTTCTGTGTGCTGGACAACAGGCTAGGAGGTGGGATTACAACAGGAGACCACGTAGATGGTCCCTGTTCTTGTGGTCACAAGACAGAATGCATGATTGGCATTAAACAGTGTGACTACTCCTGGTGGGTGTGCAGCCGTCTGCATGTGGAGACAGATAAGTTGCATTCTAGCGAATGCTATTTGAGAAATATTTGCAGACTGCTTTGGAAGTAGAGAGAGAGTGAGTACAGGAAGTCTGATGGTAGAGGTAATTTGGAGGGGAAAGAGAGTATTAGCTGTTTAAAGGAAGAACATAGTATTGAACTTGCCACTTGTTCACTGCTTGCTTTGCTCTCAATGTGCAGACTGACAATAACATGCAGGTATTCCTTGTCTAAAAGTCAGTTGACCTAATTGCCAGGCAGGACAGCAGAATAATGAACAATTTAGTTCCTAGAGGCAGACTGTCTAAATTCAAATTTCTGCCATGACCCCTAAGTGGTATATAGCTCAGTGGTTAAGAATCTGGAACCAGACTGCTTGGGTTCATAGCCCAGCTGGGTCACTTACCGGCTCAGTGACCTTAGGTGAGTTTGCTTAACTTCTCTGTGCCTCAAAAAAAAAAAAAGTTTGAGGATTAAATAAGTCAGCATATCAGCACTTAGGATGGTGTCAGCTCTATAGCAAGTGCTCAAAAATCATTTGCCATTATTAAGATGCCTGTGTGACTTTTGGCAAATTACTTCACACAGCTTCGATATATTCATCTATGACAGTAGGATAATAATGTAATATTGCCATAATAGCAAAATGGTAATAACAGTGTTGTAATGAGGATTAAATGTGAAAAAGCACTTGGCAATGCCTGGCATTTAGGAAGAGCTCAGTAAACCTCTTAGCTGTTATTACTGTCATCATTATCAGTGTCAGCAGACAGATACTTTGCTACCCACAAGGGCAATTGTGTTAATAGTAGAACTGGAAACTTAACCTAAATGTGCTATGCTAGCATATATTTACTATATATTGTACTGCTATAATAGGAGAGCTGATAAACTTAATATAAATGTATAAAATTTTCTCTCCCTTCATATTTCTCTCCCTTCACAATTGACAAGGAAAGAGGGGATGCTTCCTTTGTAATTTTTTATTTATTATTTTTATTTTGCTATCATTAATCTACAATTACATGAGCAACATTATGGTTACTAGACTCCCCCCATCACCAAGTTCCCCCGACATACCCCATTACAGTCACTGCCCATCACCACAGTAAGATGCTATAGAATCACTACCTGTCTTCTCTGTGTTGTACAGCCCTCCCTGTGCCCACCCCCTACATTATGTCTGCTAATAGTAACGCCCCTTTTATCCCCCTTATCCCTCCCTTCCCACCCATCCTCCCCAGTCCCTTTCCCATTGGTAACTGTTAGTCCATTCTTGGGTTCTGTGAGTCTGCTGCTGTTTTGTTCCTTCAGTTTTTTTCTTTGTTCTTATACTCCACAGATAAGTGAAATCATTTGATACTTGTCTTTGTCCACCTGGCTTATTTCACTGAGCATAATACCCTATTCTTGGGTTCTGTGAGTCTGCTGCTGTTTTGTTCCTCCAATTTTTTCTTTGTTCTTATGTCATCTTATGGCTGTGAAATGATTTGGTACTTGTCTTTCTCTGCCTCGCTTACTTCACTGACCATAATATCCTCCAGCACCATTCATGTTGTTGCAAATGGTAGGATTTGGTTCTTTGTTATGCCTGAATAGTATTCCATTGTGTATATGTACCACCTCTTTATCCATTTATCTACTGATGGACACTTAGGTTGCTTCCATTTCTTGGCTATTGTAAATAGTGCTGCGATAAACATAGGGGTGCATCTGTCGTTTTCAAACTGGGCTGCTGCATTCTTAGGGTAAATTCCTAGAAGTGGGATTCCTGGGTCAAATGGTATTTCTATTTTGAGCTTTTTGAGGAACCTCCATACTGCTTTCCACAATGGTTGAACTAATTTACATTCCCACCAGCAGTGTAGGAGGGTTCCCCTTTCTCCACAACCTCGACAACATTTGTTGTTGTTTGTCTTCTGGATGGTGGCGATCCTTACTGGTGTGAGGTGATGTCTCATTGTGGTTTTTATTTGCATTTCTCTGATGACTACTGATGTGGAGCATCTTTTCATGTGTCTGTTGGCCATCTGAATTTCTTCTTTGGAGAACTGTCTGTTCATCTCCTCTGCCCATTTTTTAACTGAATTATTTGCTTTCTGTTTGTTGAGGCGTGTGAGCTCTTTATATATTTTAGATGTCAGCCCTTTCTTGGATCTGTCATTTATGAATATATTCTCCAATACTGTAGGGTACCTTTTTGTTCTATTGATGGTGTCCTTTGCTGTACAGAAGCTTTTCAGCTTGATATAGTCCCACTTGTTCATTTTTGCTTTTGTTTCCCTTGCCCAAGGAGATATGTTCATGAAGTAGTTGCTCATGTTTATGTCCAAGAGATTTTTGCCTATATTTTTTTCTAAGACTTTTATGGTTTCATGACCTACATTCAGGTCTTTGATCCATTTTGAATTTGCTTTTGTACATGGGGTTAGACAATGATCCAGTTTCATTCTCTTACATGTAGCTGTTGAGGTTTGCCAGGACCAGCTGTTAAAGAGGCTGTCATTTCCCCATTGTGTATCCATGGCTCCTTTATCATATATTAATTGACCGTATATGTTTGAGTTTTTTTATCTGCACTCTCTATTCTGTTCCACTGGTCTGTGGCTCTGTTCTTGTGCCAGTACCAAATTGCCTTGATTACTGTGGCTTTGTAGTAGAGCTTGAAGTTGGGAAGCGAGATCTTCCCTGCTTCATTCTTTCTTCTCAGGATTGCTTTGGCTATTTGGGGTCTTTGTGATTCCATATGAATTTTAGAACTATTTGTTCCAGTTCATTGAAGAATGCTTTTGGTATTTTGATAGGGATTGCATAGAATCTGTAGATTGCTTTAGGCAGGATGGCCATTTTGACAATATTAATCCTTCCTAGCCAAGGGCATGGGATGAATTTCCATTTGTTAGTGTTGTCTTTAATTTCTCTTAGGAGTGTCTTGTATTTTTCAGAGTATAGGACTTTCACTTCCTTGGTTAGGTTTATTCCTAGGTAGTTTATTCTTTTTGATGTAATTGTGAATGGAATTGTTTTCCTGATTTCTCTTTCTGTTAGTTCATCATTGGTATATACAAAAGCAACAGATTTCTGTGTATTAATTTTGTATCCTGCAACTCTGCTGACTTCAGATATTAGTTCTAGTAGTTTTAGAGTGGAGTCTTTAGGGTTTTTTATGTACAATATCATATCATCTGCAAAGAGTGACAGTTTGACTTCTTCTTTACCAATCTGGATCCTTTGTATTTCTTTGTTTTGTCCAATTGCTGTGGCTAGGACCCCAAGTACTATGTTGATAATAGTGGGGAGAGTGGGCATCCCTGTGTTGTTCCCAATCTTAGGTGAAAAGCTTTCAGCTTCTTGCTGTGAAGTATGATGTTGGCTGTGGGTTTGTCATGTATGGCCTTTATTATGTTGAGGTACTTGCCCTCTCTACCCATTTTGTTGAGAGTTTTTATCATGAATGGATGTTGAATTTTGTTGAATTCTTTTTCAGCATCTATGGAGATGATCATGTGGTTTTTGTCCTTCTTTTTGTTGATGTAATGGATGATATTGATGGATTTTCGAATGTTGTACCATCCTTGCATCCCTGAGATGAATCCCACTTGGTCATGGTGTATGATCCTCTTGATGTATTTTAATTCGGTTTGCTAAAATTTCGTTGAGTATTTTTGCATCTACATTCATCAGGGATATTGGTCTATAATTTTCTTTTTTTGTGGTGTCTTTGCATGGTTTTGGTATTAGAGTGATACTGGCCTCATAGAATGAATTTGGAAGTTTTCCTTCCTCTTGTGTTTTTTGGAAAACTTTAAGGAGAATGGGTATTATGTCTTCTCTATATGTCTGGTAAAATTCAGTGGTGAATCCATCTGGCCTGGACGTTTTGTTCTTGGGTAGTTTTTTGATTACCACTTCAATTTCGTTGCTGGTAATTGATCTGTTTAGATTTTGTGTTTCTTCCTTGGTCAGTCTTGGAAGGTTGTATTTTTCTAGGAAGTTGTCTATTTCTTCTAGGTTTTCCAGCTTGTTAGAATATAATTTTTCATAGTATTCTCTAATAATTCTTTGTATTTCTGTGGTGTCTGTTGTGATTTTCCTTTCTCATTTCTGATTCTATTTATGGGTGTAGATTCTCTTTTTCTCTTAATAGGTCTGGCTATGGTTTTATCTACTTTGTTTATTTTCTCAAAGAACCAGCTCTTGGTTTCATTGATTTTTTCTATTGTTTTATTCTTCCCAATTTTATTTATTTCTTCTCTGATCTTTATTATGTCCCTCCTTCTGCTGACTTTGGGCCTCATTTGTTCTTCTTTTTCCTGTTTCAATAATTGTGACTTTAGATTATTCATTTGGGATTGTGCTTCCTTTAAATATGCCTGGATTGCAGTATACTTCCCTCTTAGGATTGCCTTCGCCGCATCCCACAGAAGTTGGGGCTCTGTGCTGTTGTTGTCATTTGTCTCCATATATTGCTTGATCTCTGTTTTAATTTGGTCATTGATCCATTGATTATTTAGGAGCATGTTGTTAAGCCTCCATGTGTTTGTCAGCCTTTTTGTTTTCTTTGTACAATTTATTTCTCATTTTATGCCTTTGTGATCTGAGAAGTTGGTTGGTAGAATTTCATTCTTTTTGATTTACTGAGGTTCTTTTTGTGGCCTAGTATGTGGTGTATTCTGGAAAGTGTTCCTTGTGCACTTGAGAAGAATGTATATCCTGCTGCTTTTGGGTGGAATGTTCTATAGATGTCTGTTAAGTCCATCTGTTCTAA